ACTCTCTCTCTCTCTCTCTCTCTCTCTCTCTCTCTCTCTCTCTCTCTCTCTGTATATATCCAGTTGTTTGAGGAACTATTTTCTTGTGTATCTCATTACCTGGATGTCTAACCTTCATTGACGTAACGTGTCATTTATTAACGTGTTATTATTTATATCTATATTAGGTATGAAGAGTGACGTACCCCCGGCTGGACGTCGTTAGATGAACACATGCCGACGCAGCAGAGGATGGAGGTGACGAATCCCAGAACCATCTCTGTAAACCCCAGGAGGATGTTCACACCGTGGAGAGCCTGCATGGCGCTGCACCTGCTAGTAGCGGTGTAGCTGTAGGTGTGGTAGGAAGAAGCATTGGTTCAATATGAACACACTCACACACGACACAAAACAATACAACTCAAACACACATAACTACACAGTGACTCATAAACAAGCACACACAAACACATTCATGTCCACAGAGAAAAAGAGAAACACACACACACACAGGTACGTACATTGTGACACACAAACACAAGTAAACCGTGACACACAAACACACACTTACACACACACACACACAGACACACACACACACACACACACACACACACACACTCACACACAGAGAGAGAGAGAGAGAGAAACACACACAGAAACACACACACACACGCACACACAGACACACACACACACAAACACACACTCAGACACACACAGAAACACACATGCACACACACAAAACGCACAGAAACGTGCATAACCTACCTATAAATCCCCACCAGGAGTAATTGCAGGATATTCCATCCACAGATATCCCAGAGGCCGCCACGGCCCAGCAGACCAGACACGCAATGATCACGCAGATACTGAGCGGTAAGAACGCCGCCATCTTCAGGAAAACAGGAAAGTTTTACGTAGTACATTTTGTCGTGCGTTGTAATTTGATAAATCGATAGTAAGTCTTAGGTCAGCCTTTACACAGTTACTACACAAATCATTTTCGTTAGCTTCTCATTTAAGATACATAATGTGCAAAATATATCGCAGAAGTTTAAATTTCATGCTGACATTCGTACATTTGTGTTTACTTACCCAGCCTTTGCTTGTAGGGTTTTTGCCACTGAACACTCCAATGACGCCAGTAACGATGACCTGTAGTGAAATAACATGTCATGACTGCAAAAAACATGAACGGATGTCACTGATGCACTTGATGCATCGATGATTTGATATTATTAAAAGTTTACAAGAATTGCACTGTCGGATTTACACCATTCTTATCATATAATCAACACGTGTAACCTTTTCCTGGCTTGTATAGTTTTAAACAAAGAAAGTCAAACGTTGGGTGTAAAACTAAACATACAGGTTCATAATACATGTAGTAAAGCAACGGAAACTGGATTGGTTTGGCTCCGTGTCTCAGCCATTGTGACCGGCCAAAACTATCATGCAAGGAGCAGTCTAGGGAGGAAGAAAGAGGGGCAGGCAACGAAAAAGATTGATAACATCAGAGAAAGCATGACACTATCAGAAACAGAAAACTGAGAACTATGGAGAAAACTGGTTGTCAAATCATCTGTGATACCCCAGTAGTTAGATAATTAAACCAAGGGTTAGATGAGATGAGATAGATTCAAAGCTGCCGGGAAAGAGATGAAATGTCCTTGAAATGTCTAAAGTGAGTTGATGTACTTTAGAAGGATTCTATACTATGTAGATCCACTCACGAGAACCCCGCTCCATATCGGCGCGCTGACTTGGTGCATGGTGAAGTACCCGTCTCGGATGAACGCTGCGTCCGCTGCGATCCCGAAGATGACGCTGAGGGACCCCAGCACGATAAACGTCCAGCCCAGACCCAGTACACACGAGCCGTTATACGACATGGCTGCTGGACGTCTGCTGGAAGGACATGTGATCATGATGAAAGACCTTTATTGTACATTGTGCTCTTACAAGCTAAGGACAGGTCATATTTAAACACTATACAAAATTTAAAGAGATATCTCACCATATATACATACTAATGTGTAGCTAAGAGCCACACCTCAAGCACCAGACTGTCAAGTACGTTAAGTAAAGATCCCACCACACGTATCAAACAGAGTAGGGGGTCCTTCCCGGTGTGAGTGGTTCAGAACTTACAGTCTTGTCTCCCGGTTGAAAAGGTGATAGTCACCTGTTATGTTAATCCTTCCAATATGTAGTAAATCTCGATAAATGATTATCTAAATCCTGGATCTTAGTCAGATTTTACGCTAATCACCTGTCTACATTGTCCACCTGGTTATCTGAGAACACATGTACCTGTGGCCCATTTCTCACTGCGTCACATGTGATAACGTTATAAAATGGCCCCTTGGGCATCACTTCAGCCCATTTGAACCGGTACCCGGAGGTTAGCTTCAGCGTAGTGTATTTAGTAAATCATTAAACCGTGTTGCTCACCGTGTAGCAGCGCTCCTGTAACTAACAAATGTTTCCGTCAGTCCACAGGTGGGAAAGAAAGATGGCGCCCGTGTTGTTCTCCCGACTTTCGTGACCTTTTACGTCACTCGTTCCTACGCTACGGTACGTAGCTCAGGCTAAGCGAACCGTATCGGTAACGTGTCACTGAACGGGCTGACTACTCATGTGTGTCGCGATCGCATGTCAATAATCAGGGAACACACACCTCCTTGTAACGCTATAACCTCCCTCTTGTGTATTTACGGACTACTGTTTACAGAGAAGCCACCATGTATTTTACTTTGCGAAGCCTCGGTGATAACAGGGCGTTTAAGGTAAAGAAAGACCTTGAAAAATTTTTGGTGATCTGCAAACGACCTTCAGAACTTTGGTTGAGTTCTAAAGCAGTCGTTTTCAATCAAGGTGATCGTGATGTACATGTTAAAATTTCCATACAGTTTCTTATTCGAGAAACTTTCTAAGCAGAAAGCAAGGATTGCAATGGGACTCTAATAGATGCTCACTGATTACAAAACTCACTTCCTAACATTGACATGTTTTCTGTAACAAAAAAAGCCATTACAAGTAGCGGGTTTACTTAGCAAAGCATATGGTGTTGTTAACACTGTGAAAGCCGTCGTGAGCCGTGTTGACATATAACGTTACTGTTGACGCTTGACCTCAGAAGTTGGAAAAAGGATAGGTAGAAATAGAGATTTAAAGTACTCTTGAACTCAGATCTAAAACTTTAAATTTGAGAAGACAGATTCGAATCATTTTTGACTCGACATGTTTCTCTTCCGTACTCTAAAGAATGAAGAACTCAGTTAAGACACGAATTATTTACACTCTAACTAAGCTTTAAAATTGACATGACAGATTGGAATGACTTTAATGCATAAGTTTAACTTGACATGCAGGACACGCATAGGAATCTGAATAGATAATTCCCTGATGTGTAGCGATGTGATGCGGTGATTTCCATGGGGATGTCATTAGTTGTGTATTTGTCATTAGGTGTGAATGTTATCGGCTTTGTTGACGTGACTTCATTCCCTTGACTGTCTCATTTTCATACAACAATTAGAGATCGTTATCAGCTACAGGAGAGCCAGAGCTAATCTGTCATTAGAAATGTAACAAAGGCCAGGATATTGTGTACTTTAAACCGGTTGATCAACTATATCTTCGTTTTTTTTGCTACAAGATGGCGTCATAGCAAGTATGCAATCTGTGACGGTGAGTTGCAAAAAAGTTTTCAGATGTCAGTGTGAAAGACAAACGACGTAAGGTTGACCAGCTGTCTAAGTGTGGTGATAGGCCTATGTCTTTGGGATGTACATGTTTGTATTTGTCAGTAACAGTTAGTGTACATGTATTGTATGTACCACATTTAGTCTGGCCAGTAGCCTAGCTAGTAGTAATCTCCAAGCAGACCTTTCAGAGGCTGCAAAGACAGTATCAACTTTTTTGCCAGGCGGTATACATTTGATAGGTAGTTACCCTTTGCCAAGATACCATTACAAAAAAAGAGAGCAGAAAAACACGCCAAAAATAATCCGAAGCCCAAACCTCTGCTTGGAGAGTACAGATGTACAGATGTAGGTCTCCTCCAACTGTTTCTGACAGACGGTAACTATGTTTGCAGCTGGAGATGAAACTTCCATTGTTTTGACTACTTTTGAAACAAGTCTTTTTGTACAGGTTGGCCCAATATTCCTCACAAATATTTGAAAAAGCGACCGGTAAATGACTCATGAGTTTTAAGTCTATGTACTACAAGTGGTAAATTGTGACTTTTATATGAATTTGGCGGAGATAAATCAAGAAATTTGAGATGATGTGACTACAGATAAAACATTTGAAAATGAGAATGTTTGGAAAATGTGAATGGAGATCCTCAACAGACACCCTGCACGCTAAAAGCTGCCATTTTGGTATCTTTGTGTATGTGTCCTTGCCCTATTTGCGGAGAGGACAAGAGAGACTCGGAAGCTAAATTGGTTTGGTAACCAGGATATTGGAAAAAAAAACAATTAGCTTACTAATGAAATCAAGCAGTTAAGTACTTCACCTAAATGTCTTGAATCCCCGATCAAGAAAATAAATCGTTTTTCATTCAACGTCTCGGATTTTCGCTCCACACGCCTGAGGGTGTTTACTGAGTACGCAAGTACACGTACTCGTACAATGTTACTATGTGTTATGTATGCGTCTCAATCGACCTTTCAACAGCTCCAGACTAGGTTAGCCAGTAGAGATCAACATGTAATGTCGTTTCACGGAGGTAGAAATGCCATGTAAGCCCGGCACGATCTTGAAGACTTATATGCAGCCTTTCACATCTATTTCTGAGGCTTGCTCTGATGTTAAATAAATCTGTAAAATCATGGGCTCATCTTGTCACCATGGCGTTTTTCTATGATAGATACTTGACCTTTGCTTTTCGGCGAACTATAACAGATTTGATCGGCTTGGCTGTGTTAGCATTTTAGCGTTAAGGTAAAGGTAGTCCCATAGTCTTACTTTTGATTGACGTACATAGCAAAATACACCAACGCAGTTCAAGCAAGGTCTTTGGCTAAAGTGATGGCCCATAATGGTAGGTTAAAAGGTAAAGGTAGTCCCGTAGCCTTTTTGAGGTCGTAGGGGCAGTGGATTGTTGATTCACGTCTAGGGTACAGTACTGGAAGGCCGAGCCCATCCCTCTCCTTTCACCACCTTTTACCTTCCCAACCGGAGTGAGGTACCATTTTACACCTGGGTGGAGTGCGGAAAGTCGTGTTAAGTGCCTTTCCCAATGACATAGCGGGACTATCCAGGAATGCAAAACCAAGCGAACTTCTTTTATGATCTCGTGTCCACTCGCCTTAGCCACTCAGCCATTCTACATCGCATTCCATGATGGCTCATCCTCTGTCCGGCAAATGTGTCCAACCAAGCACGTTCCTTTCTCTCCATCAGCGAGATAATGTCCAAGTAGGCACAGCTGGCAACATTAGTAAGATCAAGGAGGTTGAAATGAGATGGAGAGATCAAAACTACGAATTTCAAGATAAACTTCAGTGACCATGATGGCCATTTTCCCTGTGGAAATCACCCTCTGTGGCTTTCTTAGATCCGACATTTTGTTTTCTTTTCTTTTCAAGTGTAGTGACAACCCTACTAGCCGTTAACTCACAGTCAGTAGTTCTATTAATATTGTACGACCTTGTAGTGCGATATTCGTGGCCTTTACGTAGCCTTACCGGTAAATCTTTTACGCACTAGGAGCTTATGTTCGCAACAACTACCAGCTGTTCCTGACTGGGACATAATCTCACTGATGGAGAGACAGGAACGTGCTTGGCTGAACACATTTACTAAATGGAGGATAGGTCACCATGCAATGTGGCGTCGAATGGCTGAGTGGACACAAAATCAAGAGGTCAGGGGTTCGATTCCTTGCATTCCTGGCTAGACATCGTGACTTTGGGAAAGGCACTTTAAACGGCTTTCCTCACTCCGCCCAGGTGTAAACTCGGTGCCTGACTTCGGTTGGGGAGGTAAATGACGGTGGAAGGACAGGAATGGGCTCTGCCTTCCAATACCTTGACCTAGACATAGTGGATAAACAACCCACTGTTTCAACTAAAGGCTACAGAACTACCTTTACTCACACTGACCTTTACAACGCTTAGGTGCTAATAATACAGCCTAGACCGTCACATCTGCCATAGTTGACCGAAAAGCAAAGGTCGTGTATTTGTCATACCACCACGCCATGTTGACGAGATGAGCCACTGTAACAGCCTCATAAAGGCTACGGAACTACCTTTACCTTTTAACCTACCACAATGGGACATGTACTGCGTTGGTGTATTTTGCCATTTACGTCAATGAACTGTATTCTACGGAATCAAAAGCAGTATGTAGGGCAATATGAGTCACTTTGAAAGGTCATATTGCGTTATAAGGTAGCATATAACATTTCCTATATTTGCCTTGAATTGGTCGCCTATGGTGCTATGTAGTCTTATATTTCTGGCAAGCTTTACGGAATTTGTATGGGCACAGGAACCTGACCTGTCATAGTACTCTCCCTATGGAGTCCACATGACGCAGGTCCAGGACAAATTTCAAAGGATTTTCACCGCGAACTGCGTATAAGGCCAAACATAAATTATACATTCAGCACTCAGGTTGGCGTGACAAAATGGCGACAATAGGGTCATAAACTACGTTAATGATGGAATCTGTAGCTTTGAGGTCAGCATGCTTATTGCAATGTCATTCTCTTTACTACCTATGTCACTATCAGGCACCCCATTACAGGCCAAATGGCTTTAAACTTCTCAGGTACTAGGTAAGGCGTTTTAGAGTCATTCAATTTGACCCTGAAGAAACTGGAGCCTTCTGAGGCAATACAGGATAAACCTCGCTCTCCCAGCGCCCCCAAAGACCGCGGTTATGCCGTGTTCAATTATACGATTATCGTCACCTGGCAACCAAGGCGTGTACTCAATTAAGATGGGAAATTCGAAAAGCCCACGCAGCTGCGCTTTTTATTCCCTATAATCACAAAGTTACACACCCTTCTACGGCGGTCTACTTGTTCTGTTTTATCACACAAAACAAGGTGTACACTGTATTGTAAATGTATCAGGAAACGTAATACACATTAGCAACCCTCCTACGATTGTTAAGGTCTACATTACGTACCGCCTACCTCCTACTTGATTGCCATCTGTGGCCCACTCAATTGGGATCACATTTTATTATATTTTCTTACGAGATATTCTCACCAACAGAAATCTCTCCCGTCTTACACAGGGTCAGTGAAAGATCCATTTTGCTGGGAGCGCCACGCGGGACCTCTGCTCTTTGGTGGATTACCCGCGGACCTAAGTGCTTTTTACCCACGGCTATACTGATCCAACGTGAGAGAGCGTACTGTCGTAATGAGCCTGTCAGCTACCGGGGAACAGTACGTATACGTGGTGCGTCCGTCTTCTGCTTAAAAACGCGAGTTTCCTTCGTCCTTTTCGCCGAAGAGAAGATAAGCCGTTATCGACAGACCGTGGACAGCCCGGTATATTACAGAACGGCCAATCTTGGCATCTAGAAACGATAGGAAACCGCCTTCATCGACCGGACCATGAAATTATATTTCCTCTCAGAACACTTCGGTTCAACGGAGGAAACACAATAGTATCGCCCGGCGGACGTGAGTGCTGCAGCAGTGGTGGTATAGGGCAGTCATCGGTACACGTCTCAGCGGAGTTTCCTCATCTGCCAGACGCACGATTGTCAAGGTGACTTCTCCAATCCGCGGAGGCTTGGGGGATGATGCGGAAGGACGCGTCGTGTACGTGGAAGAGGGTTTGACATCGATGATCGCGTAATGAGGGCCATTTGCATGGGGCACAGTTGCGCATGAGTCACCGCCGTAATGAAATATAGATGTTGCGGCGATAGGACCGGAGCGATTTGTGAAGAGAGGGATCCTTATCGTCATCAACAGGTAGTGTCGGATACATGATCACATCCGCACACCGACAGACGTTTCCTGATTGAATCCTGTTATCAGGACACCGCTACAAAACATGGGCTGTGGCATATCCGTGAATGCTAGGATGACCAAGTCTGAAAAGGGTAAGTTTCGCTTCTTTCTTACTACTACATGTAACGTTACTACACGTTCCCGTGGCCAGAATATCTCTACTGAGCACCTGAAACCTTTTCTACAGAAATTCATTTCGTTGCTATTTTATTTTAAGATGTAGTCGGGAGAAATATTGATCATTATCAAAACTGAGCGAATAGTCTTTCAAAATATGAATTGTTCCCTAGTTCCGCGCCGTACGCCTTCGGGCTAGCTACATCACGACTCTCCTGATGTTTGTATTGTACTTTACCTTTCAATTCGTCCATACCCGGTAGGCACATGTAATAATGTGCTTTGAAACCCTATCAAACATCAAACCAGGTTCCGGGCACGGTACTTGGTAGTGATGAATAAAAAATGAGGTCGCCATAATAACATACTCGCAAATAACCCACAGCCAGGCCTTTAACGTTATTGCAGGCTGAATGCACTAATTGTTTCTAATGGGTTGTTATATTCCATGCTGTACCCTCAATTCATCTGTGAACATCAAAGAGGAAAGGCGTTTGCGGCTGTCAACACATGTGCGAAATAACCAGCCGGCTAGCACGCCGCAGAGACCGGAATTGGCTGCACAAAGCTTTTAACTCTGCGTGGGGAAAAACCATTACGACTGATCAGAAAAATCGTTACATTAATCATACGTATTACAGCTATTTACTCGGCCGTTTGTAGATCAGTAGCTTGCCCACCGTAGTAACAGTAGAATGAGGTACACTGTGAAACGCCATGGCTGAAAGCTAATGCACACATCGTCGTTAACGCACATTTCTCTTGAGTGGAGTCGTTGGATACGGGCTTAAGTGATATCATATTTCGAAATATTATCGTATCTCCTTTTACTATTAAGAAACTGACCATAATATACATATTGCAGCCAGTTATAAGTATCCGAAATTGTGGATGCAGTTCTGAATCTAGAGTACACATATGCGAATATGGTAACATTAATTGCGGTGAGTTTGCTACATTAAAAAGCTTCACAAATATGTTCTGCCTGTCCTCGGATTTGGCAGGCAGGATAAAAGAAAGAGAAAACAGGACACACAATGGAAAAACTGTAACTATAGCATAAAGAGGTAGTCATTTGTCTAAAAGCAACAACCGATTGCTGCATTGAAGAAATTCCAACGTTACCGATGAAGTACGAACACTCTCCAACATGCCTGTCAGATATCGTTTATCAACATTTATACATAAGAGCTTGATTTACAATGAAAGTGTTACACAAGCAACTGGGTAGATTTTGACAACCTATCCAGTTGTTTGAGTAACAATTTGAGTAACAACGTTAACTTATGTATATCATTACCTGGATGTCTAACCTTAATTGTCGTAAGGAAATAATTCTGTCAATATCGCTAGAGGAATATTATGTAACTATCAGTATGGATCAGTTAAAAGTCGTAGCCAGTTTCCTATTGCGGATTTGCCGTTTTAACGAGGACTGTTCCGTCCTCCGTGCGACACAACATTCCGAACATGTGCAGAATTCCCCGCGCTACTCCTGACTCGTGCACGGGAAAGGTTAACGAGCGTCGTGGGAACATCTCCTGCCTCAACCTGTGAAACCAAATGCTTCAGAGGCCTCTCTACCCGCTGAGTGGTTTTGACATATTTTGACGCGCGAATGTTTGTTCATTGGCGTCCCAAAATTAGCTCACGCTGTTTTCAAGTCTAGATATTAGGGAACAGATAGAAAATTGCTATCTGTTGATTGGAATAGACAATTATCCTATTGGGGCGAGCTCCAAACTTATGTTTAAAGCATAGTCATCAGGATGGGCCTTCGCCTATGGGTCTTCTCTATCTGTCAGTAAATCAGGTCATATCTCTCTTATCTCTTCTAATATTACTTAGTCTAATTATTGGACACCACTGATGATCTTTCCACCCTTTTATGTTTTCTGTTCTTCTTAACGTTTCACCTAGTGCCATGCCTGTCCATTCAATCTCTGGTTTTACCCTCCCATCTTTTCTGTTGCCTATCCCTCTTTCTTCATCCTTGTAATGTTCCTTACACGATGGCTTTGGTTAGTCCGTACGTATGACCGTGACACTTGGTCATAGAATATGTACAAATCAAGCAAACATATTATACTCTTTGGCGCTTGCGGAAGCGCACGCTACTTTACCAGTTTCAGCTGAATGCAATATACTCACGTTTCACTTATTCATTCATTCGGCCTGATGGATCAGAGAGTTGCAGTTCTATGAGTGCAGTGAAAAGTGAGTATCGGCGAATATACAGCAGCAGACAGCTAGTAAGTTTGCGATGTACAAAATAAGAAAGTGCTTGCTTCATATTTCGTTCAATTTCATTCCATTTCGTTCCTTTTCGCAACATTTCGCTGCTTTTCGTTTCTATTTGTTCCTTGTAGTTCCTTTTTGTTCCCTTCCTGCTTCTTTCGCTCCTTTGTGCTTCTTTTGGCTCCATTTCGCACTTTCTGTACACCCATAGTTTTATCTATGGAAAGGTCATATTTCTTTTCCGTTTCAGATGAAACCCCAACAAAATGGTCCGAAGAGTCAATCAAACATTTGATTTCTTTATCGTTTCTTTCAGTTGTTCTGGCATCATACTATATTCATCTATTACAAGTAGTTGTGTGGACATGTGGTATACTCGTACCACGCTAGCTCGGATTGGAAATCAGAAGTAAAATTGGCAGAAGTAGAATTAGTGATACTAGAATGTGTAATCTTACTACATCTATAGGTAAACCGATAGGTAAACTACTCTGTACAGTTTCAACTTGATATAGTGTAGTAGATAGTGTTTTTGTCACGAGATGATATTGCTATTCCCGACTGTTGAACACCTGTGGTACAAGAAGTTTTGGATTCATTTCTCAAGCTAACCGACACGTTTCACACCACAGTCGCCCATCACTCGGAGCCGCATATTTATTCAGCCTGTCACAGAATGACACCAGCTTATGGGGCGCTCACTTATATACCTTTCCAGAGCATATAACTGGCATGATACCACATACTAACATGAAAGTTCATCTGAGTTCTTGGTAAATTACATGAAGAAAATTAAACTGTTCTCCAACTCAAAACGAAAATAACTCACCAAACATTCTCGACTGAATCGCTCAGTCTTCATCAACTTTATGACCCAAGTGCTGTGGACATGTGGCTTTTAGCCACGTGTGACGTCAGCACTGGGTCAAAGTTCGTCGGAAGTCGGTACCGCCCCCCGTCCCGGTTGAGCGAAATGCCCTGATGTAGATGGCTTCTTTCACCCACCCCCTCGCAAAGTAGATACCACATAGATGCGAAAGACAGATCGGTTAGCTTGAGGAAAGAACCCACGCTACCTTTTACCACATACTCCTCAAGTCAATTCAACGGATGGATATTGGTGTGATAGATGTAGGTTATAGATAGCTTGTGAGAATGAATCCACTCTACTTTTTAGTTTCGGTACAATGAGTTTAAACTGGTTTGTTGCAGCGATAAAAGCGGCGATCCTCATCCAGAGGTGGTACCGCCGGTACCTGGCCCGGCTGGAGGCACGGCGCATGTGCACCTGGAAAATCTTTCAGAGCATAGAGTACCACAACGAGCAGGACCAATTGAAGGTACGGCGGTCACTAGTGGTTAGGCCACACTGACTGGGGGGACACGGGGTATAAAAGTACATTCGTTCAAGACACAGTTCTAGTAGCTCGTCTTACACACTTAACGTAAAGCAACGGTTTGTTTCAAAACATAGAGAATATCCCTGTGTAGTGATGCATACCTAAACCCAATTTCAGGTTCAGGTCCGGATTCAAGTCCAGAGGTTTAGGTTCAGGTCCGGACTTAAGTCCGGACCTAAACCCATGGCATATACAAAATCGCATGTTGGCAACCTTGCAATGTTGTCTGGGTGAAACTTTGGCCACATAACATGGAGGCTGGTACTTGACGATGCCCGATGGCAATGTTTTCTTCATTTTGCAGCAAAGATTTTGGAATCTACGGAAGGTTTTAGGTGGTTTAAAAAGAAAAGGGGTATGTGAAATGGTCTTTTATGGTAATAAGTCCGGACTCGGTTCTTGACTTTTAGGTTTTTTTGGACTTGAACCTAAACATTTTACAAGTCCGGATCCAAGTCCAGTGAACCGGTATGCACCACTATCCCTGTGTGATTGTACCAACCCCGTGAAAGTTTTTTTTTTTCTATTTTGCAGCTACATAATTTCTTCATTGATATGATGGACCATATAGGCGACCCTGGTGAGTGAAAACACCTGCCATAGTTTTTGTACTGTGCTTTTGCAATTCTATTGTAATTCTATACGTTAGATTGCAGTTGGCTAAAGTTCTTTTTGTCTTTTCAAGCCGAGGAAAAGCCACCGTTCCCAGCCTTGCTCCAGAAGGACCTAACAACAGGTCAGACATCTTGTATGATCTTTCTACAGGCATTCACACAATGAAGTAAATATAACGCATGATTATAATACTTAAATAGTAGCAGAAACTGAAGATGGATAAGAAATATGGTTCATGAAAGAGCAACCTCTGCTATATTTTACTTGAAATACATATGTTCTGTATCTGTATAGCCGGCGTAACTGCCCCTCGGCGTAATTAACACACTAGCATGTTATGCTGATTGTATTCCTAAAGTTGCTAACTTATGCCGACAGTTTTAAGTTTTCACAGTAATGTTTGCTCATCCTGAGCAGGTGTCAAGCGAACTGAGGAGGAGGAATCCGAGGCAGACCTGGCGGCAGAGTACGAGGACATCACAGTTCCCCCGGGATATACCGGACTGAGACTCCACTTTCCACTAACGGTGACGCAGGTCACACAGATGGTGGAGTACTTCCGAGAAAAGAAGGTAAGAAGACAGTTTCATTATTTCACCGCACTTTTTACAGAGTAGTCCAGAAACAATACGCGATTATATTTACAAACGTTTTTGCTCGGGCTCTTCTTCTTCTTAAAACTTATAAGGTCAATGACCTGGAACAGACGGCTGTCACCATGGTAACTGGTGCTGTAGCAGACACCCAGTGGTGTTGGGTTACATTACAGAGTTGGAGGGGTTGGTCTCCATATGAATGTGTTTGAGCATGAATTGAATAAACAGATAAGTAGTTTATTAATCTAGTCCATGTTAAGGTAAAAATAATGTCTTTGCTTTGCAAATGTCACCTTTCTAGTTCTTTTTCTTTCTTTTCTAAGGCTCTACATGCCCGGTATGCGATTCAACTTCTGCATGAAGCACGCAAGCGCCTGAGGCTGATGGGTAATATAAACAAAGCAACCACCGGAGTATTACACGAAATAACCATATGTGGTACGTAGTGCATCTTGACTCTTCCGAAGGAGAAAAACTGTATTTAAATGAGCTATACATCGTTGGCATCATTTTCTGTTGGAGAATATCGATCCATATTCGTGTACTCCTGTGTGCGAAAGTTATCCCTACATGTGTAATCTCCAAGCAGATCCTACGGTGGCAAGACACTATCCATTGGCCAGAGTACCGGTGAATACTGTCTTGCACGGTAGGATCTGCTTGGAGATTATACATCTGATGTACGATTTGCTTTCTCTCCATATAATATGAAATACCATATATTCCCGGTTCCAGGCGATCTACATGGCAGTCTTGACGATCTCTTCGTCGTGTTTTATAAGGTAGGTTCCACTATAATTTGGTTAAAATTTGGGTAGATCTCAAGTTCGTTCATGTGCTGATACAGAAAGTCAGTCATTGTTTCAAACTAGCTCGGCTAGAATAGTATAATACTAACAGAATAGCATAGCAGTTATCACGTTTCTCTTTCCTATTCATATTATGAATATCCACTCTTTATCCTGTATACCAACGTCGCTTTAGTTTTAAAGTAGAGATATAAGTAAGTTAAACAAGTAGATCTATACGTACAACCCCATATAGTTTTATATCACTACATTCTGTATTCATTGTTCTTGTCAATGTCTGTTTGCAATTAGCCCTCGGGCATGAACTTGCAATTAATTAATAAAGAACTCAATAATGACACAAGTGAACTGCCATGCACGTTATTAACATTTCTGTATCGTTTCCCAGAACGGCCTCCCTTCCCCGGAAACGCCGTACGTCTTTAACGGTGACTTCGTGGACCGCGGGCCGCACTCCGTGGAAACCGCCCTGCTGCTCTTCGCTTTCCTCTTAGTCTACCCGTACCAGGTTTTTCTGAACAGAGGGAATCATGAGGACTACAACATGAACCTCAGGTATAGTCAGTCAGTGAGTTCTATGCATGACGGCCATGCGAGTTTTAAAAAGATATAGAAGAACGTTGTTTGGCCTGTCTTCATCTCAAGTTCAAGCTAGTCTTAATATTCTTGAAGTTATCTATTCACAACTATTTAAGCTTGTTTAACAAGAGCCGACGTTAAGATGACCGTCTGTCATCTTCATCAGGGCTATTCTGACTGGTTCACTGTGCACTGAATCGAGCTGTTACCCCTTCTACATGTAACAATGCGGTCCCAAACGTTCCGAAATTGTAATATACATACAAGAGTGACAAAATTCAGTTACTCCCGCCCCCTTCTCTGAGACGTTCTGCCGAAGTGCTATACGCACAGTACAGTAGGTTTTTTTCGCAGGCGCAGTACGTTCTGCCGACGTGCTCACCTCTTCTCAGGTGTATCTTTTCCATGTGAAGATCGCTGTTATCCGAGAATCACGATAATAACCTCTGTACCACAAAACAAAGTGCTCTGGCATTTCGGTCGTGACTCTGGCATTACAACATTATCCGGGAAGATCAGATATTGTTTTATCCGTTAATGTATATCCCAAAATAAGCTGCCCAACTTAGCGTCAATCTATCAGAAGGTCGGTGTGTAAGGAATGACACATCGTCACACTACCACTGTAGAGTATCCTAATGCAAGTAACTGGTAACCACCATAGGTAAACCCTATAAAAGATTGTACCCGTAGTTTGACAATATCTAACCTTCACATAGCAACTACGTGTCAACAAATTGTTTATAATATAAATATATGTTCTCTTTTCCAGATACGGATTTATTAAGGAGATTATAATAAAATATAAGGTATGTGCGTTTTCTAGTTCTACTGTATTACAGAATTGTTTTCCGAGAAATTATATACATATGATTACACCACGAAAACTTGCTTTTCTCTTCAACCGCGAAATAAAACTACGGCCAAGGTTAATACATTTACAGTTTGTGGTTTCTTTATTGCTCCCGTTCCAGAAAAATGCGTCAGTCCTGGTGAAACTATTCCGAGACGTCTTCAGCTGGCTCCCGCTCGCCACCATCATAGATAAAAAGATCTTTATAGCTCACGGCGGGATCTCAGACACGACAGACCTCGAATGCATCGCTTCCCTAGAAAGGCATAAGGTAGGACCCTGTATCTCTGAAACATTGGGGGTCAACTTCTAGTCTATATGTGTACGTAGCTGCTGTGTGTTACCTCCAAGCAGCTGGGTGTCAACCACGATATCATTTTCATGGGGTCCATATAGCCTTGGCTTTGGTCTGAAACGAAACTGATGCGCGGTGCCCTGCGTCAATTTTGTGGAAACATCTTGAACGAAATTTATAACTTGTTATAGAAATTTCGAAACCCTACAACGATATGAAATTTATCATCGCAAAATTGCTGCTATTGTCCTGTGTTTGTTTTCAGTTCATAACGGCCTTAATGCCTCCAAGTTCTGACGAGGACCGGTATGTAGGTATCCTGACTGGCAGGGAGAGACTAGACCGGGAATGGAGACAGGTAAGCCGGCACGAGATCAAGACGTTATGGGTTCGAATCAAAAGAACTTCCTGGTTGGACGATTGCTAAAGTCACTTCTCCACCCAGGTGAAAACTGGGTGCCTGATTTCGGTTGGGGAGGTAAAAGGCGGTTGAAGGAGAGGGATGGGCTCCGCCATCCAATATCATGCTCTAGAAACACTGGGTCAACAACCCACTGCCCCTACGGCCTCAAAACGGTACTACCTTTACTTTTTTTCCCTTATAATGTTAAACCTACCTGCGCCCTGTAGATCCTTGACCTCCTGTGGAGTGACCCCCGAGGGAAGCTTGGCTGTGGTCCTAACACGTTCCGGGGGGGAGGGTGTTACTTCGGTCCTGACGTCACCGGGAAGTTCCTCAAGGAGAACGACATGCAGCTCATCATCAGGTCTCACGAGTGCAAGTACGAGGGATACGAGTTCACCCACAATGGACAGGTGAGGAACGTGTTTTTATTCCTCAAGATTCGTGTGTGTTGTGTGTACGTTTGTTCTTTACTGTTTACTATGACGCTGAAGAAGAGTGACGAATGCCACTCGTAACGTCCGGAATTAAAGATGTCCTTGCCGTAATTTATCCAGTAGTAGAGTTTAAATTATCTTTGAATATTGTTTACCTCGATGTCTAACATTAATCAGTGTCCTTTACCGTGATATTCACACTATGTGTAAGCATTACTTGAGTAGCAAAGTCGTGTTTAACCTACTTGTTTAACAAGAGCCCACGTTTCATCATGGCAACTATGACTGGCCTAACAAAAATTGCCATGATAAAGATGACAGACAGCTATCGAAACGTCTGCTCTTGTTAAACAAGTGGCTGTGAATTAAGAACTTTGCTATATAATCATTTACCAACCTGATGAAATTATTCACGTAATACTATGTGTAATAGTACTTGATAGGTTAGATAGCAACAACACTATATTACCTGCATGTAGACAGCAGGTGTCTAAATACCTTCGTAAGAAGGTTATGTTTTCGGTTTGGCTTAGTATGGTGGAGTGACTGTGGATGTAGGTGGCACATAACTCATGTAGCCGGATGTGTGTTCATGATTTTGGTAGGCACGTTACTATAGGGGTGACGAGGGTCAGGTTTAAAAAAATGGGCCTCATGGGGGGTTCCTACGTGACTGCTATTCTGACTACATACGTACATGTAAGTTTAGAAGGCCACACATCCAGCTCCCCGACATATGTGTTCATTAATAACACTGATCAATTTATTTCCTAATATATAACACAAAGTTTGTTAATATATAATAATGCACAGGAGAGGTGACCAGTGAATTGGTTTTACATTTGGAACGTCTTTATATGGTGAGCTGTGAAGCTATCAGTGATAAGCTTCGTGTTGGTAGTTTCCACTATTTACATATTCATAACATAGGTTCAGACGTTGGCAGCACCAAATTGCATGCCTACGAACACATTACTTACATTTATGCGTTGAACATAGATCATTTACTTCGGTGTTTTTCGGTAGAACTATGGTTGGTGTTATCATACATCCTACTCGCTATAACTTTGCCTACAAACATCATTGATGTAGTTACAGACACCGAGTTCTTATATGTGTTACATATATTTTTGAAAAGCTTGAAGCCTCTAAGGCAAACAATAGATTAGCAAACAGAAAGTAAAACAGTAGAGATACGACCATGAGCTGTGACATATCAGAGACTCGGTATAACAAGTATGAATCTTTTTGCCAAATTGTACACTAAAGCAAGCAGCAGGTATGGTGGATGAACGTTCGCCTTGTCCTGTTGCCGTTCCCTCGGACGTATTCTGTGAGATTTTATTCTGTGAACACCAGTACAGAGAGATGAACAACATCTGTGCACGATTCGAAGAAAGAGCCATATGAGACAAGTTCAACTGGCGACACGATGTTAGTGTGTTGAATAATGAAGACATTTGCACTGTTTGACAACCTCGAGTGTTGAACGGACCAGTCAGTTGTAAGGTGGTAAGGTGGTCTTGTAGTTGACTCAAAGTCCGAAGGTTCTGAGTTCGAATCCCTGTCAGGCCCCTTTGTTGTTGTGTCCCTTGGAAAGACACTTTACAACTATTTCCTCACTTGACTCAGGTGTAAAATGATGATGAGTACCTAGCTTCGGTTAGGGACGTCATGTCGGATAGGCGAGCCACACATTGAACACGTTAAGTTATTGAAAAGAGCAGTTGGCCTTCCCGGTGTGAGTGGTTCAAACCTTACTCTCTGGTCTAAAGTTTGACATCTTTGACGAGGTGACAGCCACCTGTTATGTCAATTCCTTCAGAAATGTGGTAAATCTCGATTAATTGTTCGGTAACGACGCTAAGTCTGGGTTTGACGGTGCGCCGGTGGCTGAGTTGAACATTTTACATCACCACAGCGGCTGCTGCATTCACGTTTTTCACTCACCTGATTTTGAATTCTTTCCTACAATATATTTTGGGGCCTGACAGTCACAGCTCATTGGTTAACTGTTAGAAGAGTGTAGACTTTGCGAACCCTTTCCTAATAAAAGTCACTACGGTTCTGACATCACTTTAGCTGATCGCCCCTCCCCCTCCCAATTGGACTGGCCCACGTGTCTATATATGGCCCCATATATGACTGGTTTGTTGGTTGAAATCTTTTAGCAGCCAGTCCATGCCACCAATCAGAACTTACATAACTAGGCCTGTACATGGTAAAATCAATGTAATCTTCTACACACATGGTAAAATACGACATTAAACATATCCTCAATCAATAGCAATACATAGTAAACTAGAAAGGCAGACATTTGCTCGGGAGCAAATGCAGCAAATGGCTTCACCACATCCCCCGTACCAAAAATGGACCAGGCAGGTACACACAGTCCTGTCCAATACTTAATTAAAAAACACATGCGTCCCCTTTAAAAATGATTTCTTCTTGTGATCCCACATCATGTTAAGGTACAGTTAAAATACTTCCACACACAAAAATCACGTTTTCACAATCACCAATTTCAAAATTGAATTCTAAAGAAATTACAACTCCCCAATTCGTGGTGTGGTGAAGCCATGAATACAATGAACCAATCTTTACATTTATACATTGTGCTAAGAGTTCACTATGCATGGCACTGAACTGTTAGAGTAACGCTTTGCACGTGCTGGAATGTGCTTTTTTGTGTCGAAATTGCCTTTTTTGGGTCTTGTTACCCTCTCTGTTACTTTGCATCTTTTGTGGGGAAACCAGTGGTGGTGGTTAGTTTTAAAACACCGAATTCACGGCATATGTGATAGGTTCTATAAAAAATGTATATCTGCTGAAGCCTTGCTACGAACAACGGAATTTAATTTGCTACAGGTTGCAGCCGTATCAAAAACGCCACCGAACGCTGTGACGCAACGCTTGCAAACAAAACCCTGTTTTATATTTAGTTTATGCTTTTGCTCAAGTATAAATAAAAGAGGTTCTGCAAAGTTTTCTGGAATTTTTCTTGCATGTCACTCTCAGCCCTCAGGGTGATAAGATAGGCCTGTGCAAGACTCAAAATACCTTTTTCTGCATGTTCAAAACACAAAATTGCCTGCGAATTTGAAATTTATATTACCTGCACCACTCAGACGTTAGGAACCGTAGATGTACTAAATACTGTTCAGAAACAATTGCCATTCTTTATATCATACTTTGGTAAAAGTAAATGAAAATCTACATACCCCAACATGTACACATGTGTAAATCCAGTACCCGGACCAGTACAGGTTTGGTGCAGATAGACATCAGAAATACCGAAATTTTGAGCTTTTTGCAAATTTGGCGAATGGTAACTCTGGGGCCGTTCTCGTCGCACGAATTCAATTATTTATTTTTCTATTGATTTTTTTTTGCTGAGGTCCAGTTTGTGCCCTCATTTACTAGTATGTATCATGAAACACTGGAATTACAGAATTTCCCATTAATTATGCAAATTAAGCCATCATTTTCATAAGTTGTATTTAATTGTGTACATCTTTGCAAACGCTACCTACATACCAAAAATCATGAAAATACGTTTTGCCTTTCTGGTCATATCCGCTTTCAAACTGTTATTCCTGCACCCTGAAATGGTGAAATAGAGGGTTACGATCTCATCAAGTGATAGGTTGTGGGTGAAGTATTGTTTCCTATGGTGAGTTACGTGTTTCCACCCCCTGTTATCTCCCATGGCCAGTAGGTGTTAGGTGGTGTGACGGTGGGGAGGGAGGCACGCCGTGATGTGTTACGGGTTCCCTCCCCTGGGATCTCCCATGGCCAGTAGGTGTTAGGTAGTGTGACGGTGGGGAGGGACGCACGCCGTGGTGTGTTACGGGTTCCCTCCCCTGTTATCTCCCATGGCCAGTAGGTGTTAGGTGGTGTGACGGTGGGGAGGGAGGCACGCCGTGATGTGTTACGGGTTCCCTCCCCTTGGATCTCCCATGGCCAGTAGGTGTTAGGTAGTGTGACGGTGGGGAGGGACGCACGCTGTGGTGTGTTACAGGTTCCCTCTCCTGGGATCTCCCATGGCCAGTAGGTGTTAGGTAGTGTGACGGTGGGGAGGGAGGCACGCTGTGGTGTGTTACAGGTTCCCTCCCCTGGGATCTCCCATGGCCAGTAGGTGTTAGGTGGTGTGACGGTGGAGAGGGAGGCACGCTGTGGTGTGTTAGGTGTTCCCTCTGCTGGGATCTCCCATGGCCAGTAGGTGTTAGGTAGTGTGACGGTGGGGAGGGAGGCACGCTGTGGTGTGTTACGGGTTCCCTCCCCTGGGATCTCCCATGGCCAGTAGGTGTTAGGCAGTGTGAGGAGGGCAATGTGAGCAACCGTGACGTCCTGACCTCTGGACAGGATTGCGTCTGTGGTGTTGGCGTAGTGACTTACGCCTTGGTCAGCAGGCCGGGATACCAAAGCTGTCCTCAGCTGTCTGCGGGCCCTTATACCTTTGACATCGGAGGCGCTTCTGTAGAAGGGATTACGCTGGCCTTTGGTCTCTCCACTCGATCCATACGTGGCCATGGATTGTGGAGACTGACTACTGCTGTGAGTAATGCTGTGGCTCTGGAAGGCCGGTCGATTCAGTTGCCTGTTTGTGATGACACGAAGCAAAAACTCTGCATCAGCATAGAAAGGCATGGGTCCGCTCTCATCATCCGGGATCTCACTGTAGGTATGGTGTGTGACAGACAGAGGGCGCCGTGCAGCAGTGTCGTGATCTGGTCTTTCCCAGCATGCGCGCGGGAGAGCAGGCAGAGGACGCTGGGCAGCGGCCATGTGATCCGGGATCTGGCTGTAGGTGGGTTCGATGGACTGTAGAACAGCTGGCAATGACCTACAGGACGCTGCATCATCTGGGGCGGCCCCACGAGTGCGCACAGGGAGGGAAGCTGACCGGACCACACCGGCGTCATCCGGGATCTCCGAGTACACGTGCGGGAGACCAGGCAGAGGCCTCTGGGCACAAGCTACGTCATCTGGGATCTCGCTGTAAGTAGGTTCGATGGAATGCAGGACGGCGGGCAATGACCTACAAGAGGCTGCGTCATCCGACGCCATCTTGTCTGAACATGCAGCAGGGAGGGAAGCGGACCTCAGCAAGCCGGGGAAGGTAATGCCAGGGGGGATTGTCCAAACGTGTGCATCATCGCTGGCCCTGTCATCCTCAGCGTTAACGTTTAACCTTGCTGCGCACACCTTCCACAGCAACACTGCAAGGAACGACACGACCAGAACGACCACTGCGGAAACAACAACTGGGATGACAACATGACCTGGTGCCTGAACCACCTCTAGATCTGGCCCAAGTGTGGTACTCATCACATGAAGTGTGGAGTAGTAGTCCCTCGATTCTGAAGATGTGTTGTCTTTCTCAGTAATGTCAGGGTAGTGTGTCGGGCTACTGGAGTGCTTATTAGTACCGGTTGTGTAAGAGGTTTCTGTTGTGTAGGTCTGGCACTGGCCATGGTGGCCATGGACCGGCTCGGGGACGGTGAAGAACATTGTGTGCTCACCTCTGGTGAGAAGAATGCAGGTGATGTTCCTTGTGTATGTGTGGGTGTTGTGCGTGCTGGAATCTGTGGTGGTGAGTGTGTCCGTGTCTTGTTTCTTGACAAATGACATGCCAACACCTTCAGAGGTTGTGTTCCCGGTGACCATGGAAACCAGTCGGAAGAGTGAGTTTCCCATCCATAGGGGCACTGCGATGCCCCCGCCGTATTCCCAAACCTGCCTGCACTGCTCAAGCGTGTTGGTGTCCGGTTTGTCGCTACTCAGAGAGCCATCGGTTGCCAGGACAACCACAGGAGGCTGGAGGGAGATCGTGCTCATAGAAGTATCCAAAACACTGTCGCATTTGCCAGGGTTGACCACTCCGGTGTTACCGGCTACATTGTCCGAAGAATCAAACACCCACCCAAACGACAGTCCATAAGCATCGTGCCTGGTACAGAAGAGGAACTTGGGTACCTGCACAACCACTGTAACTGACCCTCTGGTGGGACTGACTAACCGATGTAGGCTCCACGTCATTTTATGTGGCATTGCATTGTGGACTGATGCCAACATACCGCTGCTAAAATGGAGCCTTCTCAGCCAGGACTGTCCCCCGAACACATCTTCATCCAAACATGACAAGTCGTTGTCCCCCAGGTCTAACCAGGCCAGGTGTATGTGATGGAATGACCCCCGGGAAACGCTACTGATTGCATTCGAGCTCAGAATCAGGATCAGCGCAACTTTGTAATTAGGTCCAAAGAGCAAGGAAGGGTCTACAGCCCGTAACAAGTTGTTCTCCAGATCCAAGACATGTAGGCGAGTTAGGTTCACGAAACTCCCAGGCTCTATCCGCCTGATGTTGTTGTTAGGACAAAGTCAGCACCAAGAGATTCTCCAAACCGGTGAACCAGGTCTGATTAACACTTGCCAACCTGTTAGAATCTAAGGACAGTTTTGCCAGACCGGAAAACCCAGCGAAGGTGTTATTCTCCACATCGGTGATCTTTGCATCTATCAGAGCCAAAGTGTGGACCTTCGAATGATTGAGCGGTGCCAGTTTCTTGGCCGACAGGACATGGAAGGGAAATCCTCGGATGTCGGACACTTCGGCACCTGGACACTTCGGCACTTGGACACTTCGGCATCAGGACAGTTCGGCACCTGTACACTTCGGCACCTGCATACTCCGGCATCTGGACAGTTCGGCACCATGCTCAGGACGGTTCGGCACTACAATGACAGAATGCTGCTGTTGATTGCTGAACCGTTCTATGACTTCCAGCGAAGATAGTTATTATGTAAAAAAAGCAAGGAGTGAAGAAGCCATCCAATATGTTATGCAGAACAGATACCAACTGTATTATTTCATCATTGTGGCTAATAAATGAAAACTAAACTTTGAAAGTTGTAACAGGGCAGACATATTAAGGTTATAGTCTGTCACTGTTTAATGTTATTTTGATGCAATATTCATCTTTGTAGATTGTTTACCATTAATGTTTTGATGTTTTTTCCCGCGCGTGGGACACCTCCCTAGCAACAGTAACTAACAACACTGGGACCACAACACTGCCTCTTCCATATTGCTTTTATTGTTGTACAACAAAATCGTTGCGTACTCGGACGTAGTAATTAAATAAAAGATATGGGATAGTATGACTTTCGCGATAGGGTCAGGTAGATTAAACACCGTTTCACAGTAATGTATCGGGCTGTCCAGGTGCCGAACCGTCCTGGCGGCTTGGTGCCGAACCATCCTGGGTCAGGTGCCGAACCGTCCTGGGAAAGGTACCGAGCCGTTTTTGGCCAGGTGCCGAACCGTCCTAGATGGTGCCGAAGTGTCTAGGTGCCGAACTGTCCAGGTGCCGAAATGTCCAGTACCTAAATCCTCTTATTGCCACTGCATGGACTTTAGCAAGGAAAGGGAAGGGACTTACAGAGGCAACGTCCCCACCCAGACCCTCACACAGGACACATGAACCTTTGAAGGTCAGAAAAGGTGTAGGGCTTGTCTGTTACCTGAGGCACGACACTCTGGCCACCCAGCTGCCTTACAAGGAGGAACACGTCGGCCACCTGAGGCAGCACAAGCAGCTGCCAAGAGAAGCAAGAACAACATGGCTGCCCTTTTTTTTGCACTGCCTCTTACATACATTCCGTCTACCCGTCTCTAAACCTTTCATCAAAAACTACTTCTCACTTACTTGCAGTTTGTGTACTTCATCCGCAGACCTGTAAGCATCAGGTACAAGCTATCGGTCAGCCGGGGCACGTCTTTCCTCCGCTAAGGATAGTTAACGTTTTCGGGACCAAGCAAGCTTCGCACCTCCAACTGCGCTGGTGTCTAGGTCTGTACGTACACCGCATTTGCCAGACTAATGATCTCCCCGGGTGTACGTTTAAGTATTTTGCGATTGACGTATTAGGAGTTGTTATTGTGTAAGAGTTCAAAGAGCAAAGCTTCCTGGTGTTCAGACTAATTTTGTCAAATAGCTTCCAGTGTCGTTGAACTATATATGCCCTGTTGAACAATATGCCCTGATGAATTTACCATTGTTACAGTGTATTTGTATCACCTTCGCTTATAGAAGGTTATGTTTTTGTACGTCTCTATGTGGTTAGCAGCATAACTGAATAAGCTATATGGAATGATCGTCATGAACTTTGGCATGTATTTAGATATTGACCTAAGGAAGCATTTATTAGATTCTGACTCCCTGCCGGCTTTTCTTGCACTGTAGCAGAAATTCAGTTTCGTGATCTGGGCATGCAAGGCTCATGGTTTCTTTATGGGAAGTGGTGTAGTTTTGGACATCCTTTTTTTAATCTATAGGGGCCAAGTTGTTTCGAAACGTTGAAAGAGTTGACGGATTGTAATTATGGTAAATGATGGCGATTGTATGATATGCAATTCATCACTATCAACAGTCTTGCGTCCAGTCTATATATAGAGCTATAGTTCTGCCCCTGATGGACAAACGTGGTCAGTGATCGTGTAACTCTAACGCTATAAAATAAGAACACATGTAGACATCCCGCATCTTCACTCTTTATGCATGAAGGTCCTGACGATATTCTCTGCGTCTAACTACTACGAGGAGGGGAGTAACCGAGGTGCGTACGTGAAGATCGGGTCGGACCTGCAGCCCCGTCTGGTACAGTATATGTGCACGTCCTTCCACACAGAGAGGGAGATGGCACTGTCACAAAGGTCGGAAAGGTGCTAGCAACTCAACATACTTTAGACGTATGGTTTTATTAAATATTTCTCACTTATTTCATCCTGTACCATGTACGTTATTTAAGTTCTTTCGGTGATGTAACTGTATCTGTAGTAGTGATTCCTTGGTATACCGTTATTTTCTGTTTAATATCTTTACCTATTTTGAGATTACTTGTGATTATGTAATGTATTACATACAAATACTTTACAACCATGCTTCATTCATTCATTCATTCATGTGGTGAAACCTGTGGTGTAATTGCCAGTTCAATTTAGTCCATTTGTACACTTTAACTTTTTCGACGTTTGTCCGATACGTCATCGCACGTAATTTCTTCATTGTGTGTATAAGTGTGCTTTGAATCATAAATCCACCAGCATGCATATTACAGATATGGAACCATAACCGTAACATACATTAACCACAAGATTCTGTGTATTTTAGCCCTTTACTCCGTTCCATTTGATTGTATTTTGTGCTATCGGCGATCTACGTCGTATCTCGCTCAATTGTTGCTTCATATTTCGTTCAAGGTTCTTTCGTTTCGTTCCCTTTCTCTCCAGTTCGCCCGTTTTCGCATCTTTTCGCTCCTTTTCGTACTTTCTGTACACCCCTGTAACATGATTGTAAAATACTGATTATCTGACTATCCTGTCTTTATTTGTCCCGTCACTGCAGATTAAGCATCATTGAAAACGCAGCTATCGTGTACCTGAAGGAAGAATGCTATGCAAACAAAACTGCCCTCATGGATGCCTTCCGTCAAATGGACCCTTCAGATAAAGGTAACTAGCTTGACTTTCAAGAGCATTTTGTAGTTAGAAGTGAATCACTTTTTATATCACGTTATTTCGTTACCATTGCTTTTACGAAAAATGCTCTTGTACCGATTTGAAAGCTATTTTCAAAGTCTTTTAGCGATAGAAATATTCTTTTAATTATGATTTAGAAAAGAGTACATTTTGAATTCATGATTAGTACTTAAAAGTTTACATTTCTTTAGCGTTTTGACCCTGCAGACTATGACAATCAAACCTATTTCAATCTACAATGTATGTATTCAACATCACCTAGAGACGAGAAGAAGCCGAACCTATGTATTACGTTTGGTTCTACTTTTGTATTTGTATACCCTTACTTTGGCCGATATCGATATCGATAGAGCATGGGTGTACAATAAAGGCTTTTATCTTATCTATCTATTTACAATAATCTGTAGGTGTGATAACGTTACGTCACTGGATCGACACCATGACGTCAGTTCTGAACCTTGACCTTCCGTGGAGGGCCCTGAAACATCAGCTGGTGACGACACCAGATCGGGACTTGGTTCACTACAAGAGCCTGTTTGAAAATTTCAATGTGTCACACAAATTTAAAGAGGTGAGAATCTCACTGTATCTCCCTTGTTTGACATAACCGTTGTGGCAATAGCTATGGTTACAAATGATACAGCTTTTTGACTTTCAATATTGATATAATTTATCTTATAAACAAACAGAGATACCTCAACTTTTTAGCAGTTCTCAATTTAGAAGTTTCATGATTTGCAAAAGAGAGGGGAAAGATATATAATGATTTTGGTTGCTGTTTTTTTTTATTTCATGTCAGACAAGTTTTTCCGAGGCCATGTACAGATGTCGTCATGAACTGGAGACGATTTTCAGAGCCATGGACAAGGATAACTCAGGTATTCTTCGGAAGTATTGTTTTGGGTGGCTCTGGTTCACTGAGGGTTTGTATGTATCGTGTCCTAAGCAGCGAGGATTGGAAGTGCGTGGGCGGACATTTGGTTTCAGTTGATTGACCGGGTTGTGATCCGGTATGGGTGGGAGGTAAGAGGTCGCCGGGAATGTGTACTGTGTAGTCATGGTATGAAACACAGAACATTGTATAATGCGTCATACAATCCTATGGCGTAATATTCCATACTATACTTACTATGGGCCCTTGGCCCCGTGCGGAGCATAGGCCATCGATGATCCTATTCCATACTATGATGTCATTAAATTGGGTAATTCCCCATCATACAACATAGTCCCAATACATACACAAATACCGGCCAAACACTTCCCACGGAAGTCTTAAAACCTCTGATTTCTTGTTACCGTCAGGGTTTATCTCCATGGACGAATTTCAAGAGTCCTGCCACATCCTGTCTCAACACATCAACACGCCGCTGCCTGATGACGTCATCAGGGACATGGCCTATAGCATGGACTTTAACCACGACGGTTGCATCGACTTTAACGAATTCCTAGAGGCCTTCCGATTGGTGGATGGAGATTTCAAACGACCATGTTCAGATGACACGTACGGTGATAAGGCCTAGCCTCTACCAGGCTTCAGAAGCAGATGGAAAGGTTAGAAAATGGCCTAATAGACAGTTTGAGTACAGTTAGCGGACCAATTCCCCTGGTATGTTCTCTGTCTATTTGGCCATATTCTAATCTTTCCATCCTCTTCTGACGCCTTGTGGAAGCTACGTAAGGCCTAGAAAAAATACATCGTGCTTCCGGTTAACCGCTGGGAAGGCCAAAAAGTTTTTTTTGGTATGAAACGTCATTTTAAGAAGCAAATTTCTATTTACCAAATCGGGTGAGATATTTGTCCCTTCCCCACAAGCAAACGGGGTCGATGGGTCCTGGAAATGATGCATTTCAATTCTAAGTTGCTGAACTGTATTTGTTGGATCAGCTGCAGTTCATCCAAATCATCCAAAATCCAAACATCCAAAAAGACAAAGACAATCACTATCTACCGACCACATTTTTTGGACTATAAACCGGAATCGCAACATTTTTATAGGCCTTGGCTAGGTTTGAAAACTTCAAGGGTCGACGGTACGAATGATGTACATTCAAACTATTGAAGTCCGTAAGAAAACCAACAGCAACATTAATTTGTGATAACCTGTAGGACATGCGGATATCACGGGGAATACATGTAACAGGGGTGGGTTTGAAATCTGTGAGAAAATGTGGAAATATTTTTGCTTGATGTCAATGTGGTATGACTTTTCTGAAATAACAGTAGAGTATTTTATATATCACACGGTTGTCATCGTTTCAAGAAAAATGTATTGAAAAACGTTCGTACTCTATATGGTGTAGATCGCAATTTTTTTCGTCTACAAAGAATATATTTCTGTCTCAAGTTAGATTTCTATACATCTAAAGACTGAAAGACCATAAAGTTGCATTTGTTCAAAACTACAACACAAACATTGTGCAAAGCTGCTCTTAGAAGCTAGTTAGTTTTACTGGTTCAAGAAGGCTTTTAGTCTATTAAATGTTGCAGAACTACATATCTATATAAGTATATATACACAATGTATTAGGAAGTCACCAACATTTGCGAACATCCAAACACACGAGTTTGCCGATAATGAACAAGAAGTGAGTTACTACATAAATGGGTTTCAAAATTATCAGCAGTGACGATGACATGAATTTTCAACAATAACAATGATAATGTATATCGAAACTGTCATGTTGCCTTTTCGTATCTCAGTGACACACGTAATTGTAAAAGCCGTTCTTCCATAGTTTGATCGGATACCATATTCAGTACGTATTGTGATTATGCAGGTTGTAAAGAGTTCTCAACCTCCTTGTTTGTGATAGGAAAATCTCATTAGATGTTGTAAAAGATTTTGATGAACAATTTCTTTCCGTAATACAATCAACCGTTGCCATCTGTACGTATACGTACCCATTGTCACGATAAACCATTTTTTAGTTAATGTATAAATGAACTCTAAGTGGTAACGACAGCCTTAAATACAACTTAAGGTCAATTTAGTTCTATCATACGTTTTTTACTTTGCCGCATCTGAACATAAAAATATACAAGCTTCAAGATACGTATACGTATAAAAGTGATTGGGCACCTTATGATGTACTTGATGAATTCATTACAAAGTGATAAATGAAATCAAATCGGTCTCAGTGGGGTTGTCGTTTTAAATGATGGGATAAAAGTGCAGACAAAGATAGACAATAGGCGCATCCCACGACACCATGCAATTGTAGTAAACGGCGACAGGTGGGATGCACAAGTGGCCCAGGGACAGAGTCTTCATTCATCCAATATTAAAAAGAGTCGCTATCTGTCTTACTCATATAAAATTAAAGTTTGACATTTTCCAACCTCTCAAAGGACTTCAGTGATTAAAGAGTTGTAAGTCCACAGCTGCTGTCCTCCTGAAACCTGTGTTCGGCGTGTGGTCCGTCCTCTCTGGTCTTCAAAATCCCGCGCGCCTGTAACATTTCAGTCAGCTGGTTCCCGCTATTCTCCACCCGCGCCTTGAATTCGATTTTGATGCCGGAGAATTTTCTCTCCGGAGTTCCCTCACTTTCCGGAGTCCCCACTCTTTCCAGAGTCCCTTCATTTGCCTCTTCCTCGGTCTCCTCTCCGAAATACATTTCTGCTTCTCCGGTACTACTCGCACTGGAGTCCGTATCGCTTCTGTGGTCATCAGAATCATCATCGATGATTTCGCACCTTTGCCTCGTGTCGTCATTCCTATATGTCATTTCCTTGGGACTTTTCTGCGGGTCCGGTGCGTTTTCCTGCGCCTCAGCAAAGCTCTTTTCAACGTCTCTCCTTTTTAAAGTCTCCGGGCAGGGTATATATCTGTCTCTATTGCCTCTAACTCTTTTCTCCTTCAGATTGTTCGCGATGTATTTAGATTTTCTGCAACACCCAAAACACGCGTTGCCCATATTGCTCTCCTTTCGAGTCTGACGGATTCAATTGTATTTCAACTGCAGTTGTAACTGAATTTCCTTCTTTTGACAACGTGGACAGGGTTGATATGAGCTATCGCAATCAGTGCTTCCCCCAACAGGAAGAATATGGCACACAGATAACAGTACGGACGGATTCAATAGCGGAGGGCAATGTTTGGACACACGGAGCCTGCACAGTTATTTGGGTCAAAGCACACACGCAGTAGAAAGACGCTGGTCCCTACTGGTTTCTTGCCCAAACACAGGCAACGTTCGTGGGCACGTGTCTATATTTGTCTTCTTGCCTCGTTTATTGAAATGAAATCTCCGGTAACATTATCCTGTATGACAGGATAGACAAAGAAAACGGTGACCTTCCCATTCGGAGTATCAAACAATGGAGCAATGAATTATTGATAACCTACAACAGGATGTTTTTATTCTGCTTTTGATAACTGAAACGCTTGAACCACTAGATAGCATACAAACATCATAGCATTTATGAATAGCGTCCAAGTGATATATGAATAAAGCTGACTTACAGTCTGGATATTTTCAGCATTATGATTTTATCTCAGCAAAACAAACCAGCATTTCATATTTTGGGACTGTAAAACGCTCCAATTTCACAGAGTAGTCAGTTTTAAAAGACCAGCCCTGGTTAGCATTGTGACCTAAATCAAAATATTTTACTACGAATTTTAAGGCATACTTATATCTACAACACAAGTTGTTCTGTACATGTGGCCTCTCATATGAACTACGTTAAACAGTTAGCTAACGCATAGTAGAATCATTTCCTGACCATAAGTGTCTTCTCTGGCAGATGTCGTTGAAACGGGCACTAACCTTAACCTCCAGCCGTCGATGATCAGGCCGTATTCTGAAAACGCCAGCCTGTCTGCGCGTGTGTGATTCAAGAACATGAAGGGATGACATAGAATCACGGGAAATCCGACACGTGACCGCAAAGTGACAGTCCAATTCTCATCATGATCGATCAGATCTTTCAGCTGCAGTGTACACGGCTTAGCTACAGCGCCAGTCATGGTATCTGTATCTGTATATAGCTGGTGGTATACCCGCCCTTTGGCGTAACACTCCAGCTCATGGTGGATTCTAGGTATCCAACGCGCAACAGGCAAATATTAGAGATAATCTTGAACTATGGTGAACATACGCACTGATTTAATACATCCATCATTTGGTAAGTTATATACTGAAGACAGCCTTGGGCTGATCACCAGGCGGCTATTTCTCGAAGTGCAGGCAGTAGACAATATCGGATCCCGACCTCCCCGCTCTTAATTTTAAGTGAAGAACAGAGGGCAGTATCATTTTCCAAAAGAACACATTTTTATCGGTACAAAATCAACCAAATTAGTAAAATGATGCCCACCTGAAGTATTGATTCCAATGAGATAATTGCTGAAGATCTAGGTCATTATTGGCTCAAAACAAGAGGAAAATTAAAAAGTTAAGGCGGAAAATTGATGAACAACTATCCACTCACACATTGCAAACCTTTTTTAAAGATCACCCCTGGATTTCGTAACAACCACAGAATAATGTAACGTTAAGTACAAAATGTGCAGTATTTTACCAATGGAGATTCTAAACAAACAAACAAACAAACAAACAAACAAACAAACAACACAGTTGCAGAGCGTATGCCGCTAGAGTTAATCGTAACTAAGCATTATGTAATCAATTATTCTCAAACATGATATTTACTGGATAGTTATAAAGTAGGTGCCAGCAAAATACAGAAGAGAATCGAATATGGCCGCCCCCTAGCGAATGTATATAGATGACGCATCATCGGCACTTGTGAATTTTATTTGTAACGTCCTGGACTTTAAATAACTGAATGTCTACATTATAACAGTCGTAACAGCATTTATCCAATCATATCAGTCATATTAGTTTTGAATAGTGGTGGTGGATTATGAAGAATACAACTAATCATACCACCACAGAATTGATCTCAAAATATTACAGAATGTGACTATTGGCAATACAAATGCTGTAATATGCTTACATTTATGATAATAGATTAACACTCATACAAGCTATTTTCAATAGAATTCCTTACGATCAGAAGTTATACATCTTACAAGTGTTACAATGTTTATAAATGAAGGTAATGATTTTTAATTGAAAACTGTATAAATGAATTTCATACTCATAGATCACATATGATCATAGACTACCCTGGGACCGAGAAGGTAAACGTGACTTTTGACCCTGTAAGCAGGAAGTGGTTTCTCCACGCCCCTTCCATGTGATTCAGACCGCTTTCCGTCCGGCTTTTGGCTCTTCCTGTAAGTATGTGGCATTTTTTATGTTTATCTGTGTGTTTGGTAAACGTGTGGGTTGTTGTAGACTGTTTAGAGACTATTGCCAAACCTAAAACACGTGTCTACCCTTGTCTGTTGAGCGAATTTCGTTCAGACATCATGTGACACGTACCGGCAGATTTGGTCTGGGATCACGTATCAGCTGATCACTGTTTACATTGTAGATTAATTATGATCTGGTGAAAGATACGTTAAGGTGTCAAGATTACAGTTGTTGTTGGTTATATTCTAGGGTTCTGAGTCTGAGTCTGATGCCAGGCCTGTCTAACTTAAAGCTGACAACAATAATTAACATCAACAAAAACATTATTTTATCGTTACTTGGAAAAACAACAGGCTAGATGAGAGTCAATGAGTCCCATAGTACTACGTACCCTCCATGCAGAAGTTTAGACTTTGCCTTATTTTTTACATGATTTTAGCCAATTTAGGCGTCTTTATTGGCCTTTTAGACTGCCCCCCTCCCCAATTTGCCGCAATTTGATACTGTCAATTTGATACTGTCTTGAAGCCAAAGATCTACTTGGAGATTACAATTAGCACTCAACCTCTTTGACCTTGCTCCCTGAATTGTTGCAATAACATTGCAATGATATCTCTATCTTCAGTCAGTTGAGTTTCAGCCGGTTCAGTTGAACACACATTGGTCTGCCGGTATCATCATGGCGTTCCGCTTCAAGGCTTCCAAGTACAAGAACGCAGCTGCCAAAGTGCCAAAGAAGGATGTGAGTCACATGATTGATTTTAATCATTAGATCGTTAACTACGTCTCACTAATTAACTGTTAAAGGGGCAGTTTAAAGCCCCACTTTATTTTTTTTTTAAGTTTAACACAAGGTATTTGGTAAATCAAGAATTGTGAAGGCTTGAATTATTATTATGATAATAATCATATAATCATTGCTTTTATATACTGTACTACTAGTAGGTACTTAGTAACAAAATTGTCATGAGCAAAGTCATCATCGTGCATTCAGTACAATCTGTTCTGTGACCACTTCTCAGGGTTGGATCACAGACATCAGTGTTCCTCGGGGACTGTCATCTCAAGGCAACCACATCAAGGCCAACTGTCACCACATCGCTTACAACCATGACAGTCCAGGTAAACCATGTGCAACTGTATTGAGTACTGGTAACAAAGATCTTTTATTCACAACCTTTTTCACAACAAGGTGTTGTAAACAAAGAACTATGCAATTCGATCATTTACCAACCTGATGAAATTATTCATGAACAAACATTTTGTTTTGGAGTCCCCCCTTTGATTATACTTTGTCTCAAAATAGACAGGCTATACAACAAGTCACAGAGAGTCTAGAATTACCCACTGACTTAAATCAGTAAACTACAAATGAGTTTCCAAGTTATGACAATTGTCAATTTTTTATTTATTTTTTTTTGGTCAATATTTGTTAATTGAAGAGGAATGTATGAAAATTGTCTTCCTATTCTGCAGGTGGGAACACCCTGGGTATATTACCTCTGAACAGTGTTGGCAGACAGGACAGATCTACCCCAATGCTACATGCACATGCCGGTATGTTTCCATTCAGTATCAATCATTTCCCCTGGATGGACAAGATATGTATTTATTCTTTTTTATTCATTGAGTAACGTTAGTTCATCTTTATCTATTGTGTTATGCCGTAAGAGACAATAGACACCATGGGCTAATGGTATTATCAATACTGATATAGCAAAGTGAGACAAAAAACCTTATTTTCTTTTCTGTAGATTTTGTGACAGACTTCGACTTCTCACCATTTGATGCGTTCACGGAGAGTTCACTTCTGGTGACGGGTTCTCAAGACTGTTCGGTGAGCTTGATATGAAATAATTACTAAGTGGAACTTTTCCATACTGTTTCTAAAAGTGGCAGATGTATGTAACCCGATGGACAAGTGTTAATAGAGGTTATATGTAATTTCAACACTGATGTCTGATACATGTACTTGTTGCCTTAATTAGGGGGTTGTGTGGCATAATGGTAGGGTGAGTGGCCCAGAACCCAGATCTTATGCCCTTGGGAAAGGCACTTGCAGGATCAACTTTCCTCACTCCACCCAGGTGCAAAATGGGTTCCTGACTTTGGTTGGGGAGGTAAAAGGCGGTGGAAGAAGAGGGTGTGGCCCTGCCTTCCAATACCTTGCCCTTAAGACACAATAGATAACAACAGCCTAAAAAAAGGCTATGGGACCACCTTTACTTACATGTACCTTTTCTTGCCTTGATTGTGATCTCCAGGTGAAGCTATGGACAATCCCATCAGGCCCGGTACTAGAGCCTCCCTCAGCCACAGCCACACTGACTACCCTGGACAGGAGAGTAGAGAATGTGCTGTGGCACCCGACAGCTGAGAACATCCTGGGTTTCTCCTCAGACAGATCTGTCAGGATATGGGACGTGGGAGTGCAGCAGGAGGCTTATGGTAGATTTCAGACAGCCAGGACTATGAAAATGTACTGGCAAATTGTTGCACAACAGAAAAACCGATTGATCTTAAATGCTTACTCTCAGTTTCTTCAGGCATACACATTTTGAAGAACCTATTGCATCTAGTGTGTAACAGTTTTAGCTGAATCAAGTATTTATAATAAGAAATGACATTTTCTATGCTTTTTCCTTGACAACTTCAGTGCTAGAGGATCACAGTGACTTAGTACAGAGCTTTTCATGGAAGGAAGATGGCAGCCTGTTAGCAACATCTTGCAAGGTTTGTAACTCTTAATATCTCCCACTCACCATCCTGTATTCACTCCAGAAGTAGTCTTTGTATCGGCTCATGAGATATATTGTGAATGATGTGCATTATAAATGTTGTGCAAGTACTGTGAGTTGTGTACACCATGTTGAGACTTACTTTAGTATGTAGATGTCAATATTCTTTTTTTTTCTCCCAACAGGACAAGAAGATCAGGGTTCTGGATCCCAGAGCTGGTTCAACAGTACAGGTACAGATTCAGGGAAATGTTAATAATGAATGCTGAAGTATAAAAAAAGTGTACTATGCCACAGTATGCAGGTTACATGTTTAGCAGGCCAGAATATTACTGTTACCCCCAGCCAGAATATGGGCCTTACCCAGCTACACTGGTATTGCTCTTGTAAGATCACAGCTCAAATATTTGCTCACTTCCGACAGAATTTGAAGTTGACATATCAATACCAAGGTATTATCATCACATGGTAAAATGGTACAATGGAGACTTGTATGTTCCAGGCAGGAGAGGGCCACCAGAATGTGCGAGACTCCCGGGTCCTGTGGTTAGGAGAGAAGGACATGCTGCTGTCTGTAGGCTTCAGTAAGGTAGGGACAGGGCAAACATCATCTGATTCACTTACTTATACTTAGGGGCTTTCTTCTGAGGCAGGCAGAATGTTCCAGCTATACTATCAATGTAGATATTAAGAGATATCTACAGATAGACATTTTTACCTCTTTCCATTTTTGTGTGTTACTGTTACCTGAAATGCATTTGGCCTTCAGGCATGAGTACAATTGTTTATTGCATGTAGGTTTCTGCAATAGAGTAATGTTGGATACACACAAAACACAATGATATTATACCCTTTTATAATGATAATGACTGCTTTTCAAAATATTTCCAGCATACGACATGTAGGCCTGTGTTTCCTATGTATTTGTACCTCTGCTAGAAAGAACTTGACTGTGTTTTGTAGGAGCTAGATTTGTCACTTTTTCTTTCCTTTTCTGCTTATTTTATGACTTGCTTCTTTGCTGTCATGTTGTTTTTTTCCATTAGTGGTTCTTTAGAGGTTCTGCATGCTACATTGTTTTAGTGTTAGAAGGCATGTTGTGCCTAGATCTAGTATGAAATTTAGTCTACTATTGAATACTTTGACTTGATATGTATCTGTCTGTTGTAGCTTGCATGGCTTGACTGGCAGTCATTGTCCATGCACATTGTATGTCCTTTCTTACCTGCACCCTTTATTAGATGCGTGAGCGTCAGTACATTGTGTGGGACCCTCGCAACATGGGCCAGACTCTGGCCACCGAAGCCCTGGATTCCAACACTGGGTACATGTCATTCTCCACTGCCTGTGTCGTCATGCCTGTCTAGATCTAGTTTAGTGTGGACATCTTGTGCTTTGGGCCTATTAGGCTTTGTCTTGGCTGCTGTACACTTTGTATTTTTTTAGTGGTAACTTGTAGAAAATGATTCATTAATGACATATCAGTACATACATTGAAATTTATGTTTTCATAAAGCACAACATGAAAATTCTTAGGGACCAACATACTTTTTGATGTTGGGTATGTTTTTAAAAATCTGTACAAATGTGCTTGGAAAAGCTAACAGATACTATCAATTAGGGTATGAGGCAAGGACCCAAGAGTGGTTAAAGCAACTTTTTATTTACAGTGATATATCTATATATAACAGCAATGACAAAGCAAAGTCTACAATAATTTTTAGATGTTTAGTGTTGAAATGTGTTGCATAATATTACTGGCTTGATGATGTGCTCTGTGTGTAATTGAATGTCTATGATTTTGTCCATTGTTTGTCTCTTTCAGTCCCATCATGCCACTGTATGATGCAGACACAGGCATGCTGTTCCTGGCTGGAAAGGTACACTGCAATCATGCCATTGAATCTAAAAACACCATTCCTTTGTCACTGCCAGGTTGCTTTTGTCCAGGATGCTCTTGAAATGTCCTAGGCTTCCAAGTTGTCCTGCTTTTGATAACAGAATGCTTTTGTTCCAGTGTTGTCGCTTACATGTGTATGTCAATTTGTTTCCACAGGGAGATTCTGCTGTTAGATACTTTGAAGTCACCTCCAAGCATCCGTACCTCACAGAATGTAAGACTTATAAATCCTTGTTTTATTCATCTATTTTATTCATATTTATGTTCGGAGGATTGGGTGAAAATTCATCTGTGTGCAGATGTCATCCATATATTCAAGACAGTGTGGCCTAATCATGTGTTATAATTTTTAGGCCAGCCCCATATGAGTTCGGAACAGGTGAAGGGTGTTGCCATGGTACCCAAGCGAGCGATGGATGTGATGACAGGAGAGGTGAATCGTGTGTTACTGCTGGTGCATCAGGCCATCATCCCGCTGCCTTACATCGTGCCCAGGAAGGTGAGAGTCAGTCTGCAACTGTGAGAGTCTGCAAAATGACATCTTAGTCTCAGGTTCAGTAGTATATGCCAGATAACCCCAGCTGGGTGAAGTATAGTTTTGGGTGGTACCAGTTTAAAATGAGTTTTGCATATCTTTTCCTGAGTAACTAGGATTGGAAGTGATCTTGATTGGGCGGAGATTTTGTTTCAGTTGACTGACAGGCATGCCCTGGTCACAGGTAGGAAGTGGTACGAGGTTGCCAGGAATGGATACTGCATAAATCATGGTATGAAACTAAAAACTGTGGTGTCATACCAGAGTAAGTTATGTCATACAATTGTATTAGTAGCATCCATCCTATGATGTAATTCAATCAGATATTTCCCTATGATCATACAATACAAAAACCCAAAGCACAAGGGTTATCAATATGTGTGTGTTTCAGTCATATCGTGATTTCCATGAAGACCTGTACCCTGATACAGCATCAGGACAGCCTGCCATGACAGCACAGGAGTGGATGGATGGTGGCAATAACCTGGTAAGGAAAGGTCACTGTCTAAAAATTGACTGCATAATCATATGATGTTTCCATTTGAAGAATATTTGTAGAAGTGCTGAATTAATGAGGCACCAAAAAAAGAACTACAGTGTTTAAAGTGTTTGAAGCTCTGGCATCTGTCGTGATTTTGAAAACTGCTCTTTTTGATATGAGGTCGAGTTATCAACCTTCATGTTACCAAGATATTTACTTTGAAAATTTTAACTAGAGTTATGTAATATTGGAGTATTGGAGTACTGGAGTATTACTCCAAAGATCTTATTCACATGAGTCGTGTTTTTGTCTGTTGGAAAGGTGACAAAAATCTCACTGGATCCAAAGAAAAGGCCCACAGCACCTGTAAAGCAGAGTGGTGGAGGTCCTCCTCCCCAAGCAGCAAGTGCCCCCCCTCCCAGTAAACCTATGGTACAACCCAAGCCATCTACCCAGGAGGTGGAACCTGTGACTAGCACACCTGTGGAATCTGTGAAGGTAAAGGGACTGTGAAGATATTTCTTTGCATGTAATCCTAGTGATGGGGTTAGCAGATATAAAGGAGTAGAAGAGCTAGGACTGGTGTTGTGCTCAAATAATGTCATGTTGATTTGATTAATGGGGGATATCCTCTGGTCACCTCAAAACCCAGGTGTGCATGCAAAGAAAAAAGTTGTTTTATTTTCTTTGGTACTGAAACTATTGCTGTTGTTGATTAGACGTCAGCAGTATGATGGCTGAGACAAAACAATTTACCAGTTTTGACCTTTTATTCAAAAGTGTTTGTCATCACAGGAAGATAGCAAGCCACAGCCAGCAGCTGTCCAGGTGCCTAAACCATCTGTACAGGTGCCTAAACCAGCTGCCACACCTGCTCCTGCACCTAAAGCGTCCAACAGTGAGGCAACTGCCAATGTTCCCAGCGAGGACACGGCTACAAAAGAGTCACCAACCGAGGACTCAGCTAGTCAGAAAGGGGCCAACAGGAAGAGCATGTTCCTCGCAGGTGAATAAAAACATGCGACACTTACCTTTCTATATGATATGTACTATCACTTTATATTATCACATACATATGTTTGTCAGAAGTTGATCACACCCACCTGTCATATTTTACCAACTTAGATGAACTTTCATGCTAATAGGTAGCACATACAATTGTAAGTCTTCATTTCACTTCATCTCTGCAGGCCTCCCCACGTCCAAGTTCCGCCATCTGAAGTGCACCACGCTACACAAGTCCACCCACATCGTCAACATCAGGAGCCTGAACGTGTCCCTGTACGGGGAGTGCGACGGTTTCCATGCCAACCCAGACAGGGTAGCCGTGCCGCTGTCCGTCACTGGTGGACAGATCGCTATATTTGAGGTAAGGGAACAGCTGTAGCTGTTGTCACTCACCTGGAATGCATGCTACTGGAAAGGGTTGCAGTCCTTAGAATGGAACATTAAGCCGTGGTCATTGTGCTCGTGGAAAAGAGCTTGGAATTTTCCCGGGATGATGAACCTTTAAATGATGTACATAAACTGTCTACTTTGTCATGACCTGTGGGAGTAAACTTAACTGAATCGAGATCACTTTCCTTTCAAAGACAAAAAGACAAGGTTCAATCTCTTTCAATAACTGTACTGCTGTCTCTGTGCACAGGTGTCCCAGCCAGGCAGGTTACCAGACACAGGAGTACCTACAGTACAGAATGGCACCACTGTCATGGACTTCTGCTGGGACCCCTTCAACACACACAGACTGGCTGTCGGTGGGTTTTGCATCATCATCATCATCATCATCATCATAGTGCCAGGGTGTTATCATTCCTATGGAAACCTTGGTTTCCTTCTGTTATCTAATTGGAGCTTTTTTCTTCCTTTATATATAGCTGCTGATGCCACAATCAACATTTGGAACATCCCAGAAGGTGGTTTGACTGAGACACTGACAGAGCCTGAGCTTAGCCTTCGAGGTAAGACAGAAATCAAACAACCTTGCTAAGTTAAGAAGAAGGAAGAGGCAAGAAAGTAACATGTCTTAAATCTTCATGAAACCATCTGTATATGGCATATTGGGCACTTAGAAATGCTTTATTTGGCAGATTTAGTTGTGGTTACCCGCATTCCAGACTGAACTATCAAGTGTTTACAGGAGAACTGTCGGGGGTGCTGAAAGTTCTGTAGTTGTTAATGATTCTTTGATCAATTGGAAATTATAGCTTTTCTGGTTTGTATGATATATTCTCACTATCATTTTCTAGGTCATGAGGAGAAAATCTACTGTATGAAGTTCCACCCCACAGCGAGTGACATCATGGCGTCTGCCTCATTCGACATGTCAGTCAGAGTGTGGGACTTGTCGGCAGAACAACAGGTCTTCAAACTCAGAGGACACACAGACCAGGTCAGATGTATTTCCAGGCATTCTCAGGAGTTAGTTAAAGACGCTTTGTCTATAGGGTCCAGCTTTGCTTCAAAATGTGTCTAGAGCACTTAAAACACATTAAAAAAAATGTACAAAATAAGTTCTTTGAATAATATACAGTGCCGTCAAATGGCCGAGTTGCTACGCTAGCAGACAGGAGATCAAGAAATCACAAATTTCGATCCCAGGCATTTTTGACGTGTTCTTGGGAAAGGCACTTTACACAACTTTCCTCATTCCACCCAGGTATAAAATAGGTACCTGACTTCAGTCGGGGAGGTAAAGGGGTAGAAGGAGAGGGATGGGCTCCACCTTCCAACATAGTGGATCAACAACCCCTGCCCCTATGGCCTAGAAGACTATGGGACTACCTTTATGTATTACTTTAATCTTTCTACAGATCTTCAGCCTAGCCTGGAGTCCTGATGGACAGTACCTGGCCACAGTCTGTAAGGATGGAAGCATCAGGATATATAACCCACGGGACAGCACCAGGCCACTCAGGGTGAGGCTGTAATATATTTCACTTCAGGGTAGAGCATCTGCATTGCAGTTTGCTTAAATTTCTGGTGAGAATTTCGTGAGGAAGAGATTTATTACTTATTATGGGACAGAAGTATTGTTTTGGGCAGTGCCTCATTGTAATTTGTATGTTTGAGTCCAGAGTGGCAATGGTTGATAGAGACATGGAGGTGGTTTTGGCAGTTGATTTATAGATATACACGTATATTGAGTTGAAAGCTACAACCTTCAATTTGTAAATATGTTTTTTAGACATCCTCCTCAATTCAAACATGTCATATGCACATTACAAGTAGATAGAGCAAGCCGTACTTAACCCTAAAAGCCTAATAAACCTTTTTTCACATGTTTAACCCTTTTCCACAGGAGGGAGATGGCCCAGTGGGTGCCAGAGGAGCCAGGGTGGTGTGGGCATGTGACGGGAAGTGCCTGGCAGTTACCGGGTTCAGCAAGTCAGTCATTTTCTTGAACATTCATCATCTTAGTGAAAGACAACAAAGTAATTCTGATACTTTGGAGTATACATGTAGTGCGGGCATTCAACATTGACATCATCATGAGGCAAGAAATATGTACATGTATAAAAGTTCCTCTCCAGTATACAGTTTTCCGGTGGGTTATGCATTGTAAACATCTTGTATTTGTCTTAAAACACTTGCCTTGAAGTAGAAAATTATAAACCAGATTGAAGCAATGACTAGATGAAAATGATGAAATTTATACAAAGCAATATGTACTTTCAGGTCAAGCACGCGGACTGTTTTTGTATTCAATGCAGAGGACCTATCTGCACCCCTAACCACTGTAGGCATTGACGAATCTACCACAATCCTTGTGCCTTACTATGATGAGGACAGCAGGGTGCTGTTCCTTACTGGAAAGGTAGGGGGCTCTCTTGTACCTTCCCGAGTATTGTTGAACAGGTACATGTATGTTGAAAGTGAAGGGCAGGATGTGATGGATTGTAGTTACATTTTATTGTTCTAAGTTTTAGATTTGTTTTCAGCAATGATGATACAGACTTATGTTGTTTTGGAAGTTTGCCAGAGAAGATATTAATAATTATTGAAATGTCAAAAATTGCTGACTTCAAACAGATCCTTTTCATTCTATTTTCCACTGATATTTTAGGGAGACAGTCAAATTTTCTCGTATGAAGTCAGCACAGAGAAGCCCTACCTCATAGAGCTGGCAACTACAGCATTCAGCTCACCACATCAGGTAATAGTGTGATTGTAATTCAAGTAATGATTGTAAAAACCACCCTCAGTCAGTAGATTACTTTGATGCAATGGTTGTAACTTTGAAGTTTAAAAATGACTCCACAAGCAAATAAAGTGATAGATTTTGAACATATGTGTAGTAGTGGCGTCGGGTGGCGTAGTGGTAGATCATTCGACTGTGAACCGGGAGACCCGGGTTCGAACCCGAGTCATACCCGGGACATGTCTGAACATGCGCCCCGACGTTGTGCCCTTGGGAAAGGCACTTTACACGACTTTCCTCACTCCACCCAGGTGTGAATGGGTACCTAACTTCGGTTGGGGAAAGCCGTATTGAGGTCACCTTGTGGCGCCGAATGGCAGCCGCACAGACCCTTGCGACAGTTCCACAAAAATTGTGGAGAAAATATATGTGTTATCATGTGTATTACTTGTTTGTTGTGATTTGTATGGATTATTATGTGATGCCCTGCATCAATTCAGCCGTCAAAGGCTGCGACTGCACGGGTACTGTTTGGACAATAAAAACCTTTATCATAATGGAATTGAATGTACATTTTACCTAGTACTTCCAATCATTCTTCGTCATATTCTCTGCAATCTATCACCATTACATCATATGGGCCCACGAGTTATTCTATTTTAATATTCCATCTAAGTTTATGATGCAATGTATGACGTTATTTCCTATAAGCTTTTACATACAGTAACAGTTTTGCTTTCTGTGTTACTTATCACGTTTATGTATTTGTCGAAAGTTATTCTGAAGTCACAGATGCAAGGAAGGCCAGAGTAGCAAGCAGCTGCATTTATGCTTAATACTCAAATCATAAATAAATAATACTTTTTGACAGAGAATGTACATTACATTGGCTTGTTTCCTCTGGAATACGAAATCTGCCAGTAGCAGCTGCATCTGCTTTATACCCAATTTAGAGGCAGAGATGCATTATTGACTTTCCCTCCCTCAAATACATTGTATGTTCAAATCCCAGCTCAGCGTTAGCGAGCCATTAAAAAGTCCTCCTGTCACACCTTGTAGAAATACACATTCCTCAAGCCACCTTACATCATTACATACATTCTTCAGTACATTTGTACACAGGAGTCACAGCTAATGTTTGTGCCTTGGACATCTATATTCCATGTCTCTCCTCACAGGGAGTATCTTACTTACCTAAGAAGGTGTGTAATGTCAAGGATGTGGAGTTTGCTCAGGGCTTCAAGCTGAACAAAACCACTCTGGAGCCGTTATCATTTACCGTGCCGAGAATCAAGGTAGGATTTACATGTAGTTCCTGTCTTTGTGGTGTGTGATTTTCATAAAGCTGGTGTGTTATGCCAAAGGGCAGTTATATCAGCTCTGCATGATACAGATGCAGATGTTGGAGGAAAAAATACAGTTGATTATTAGTTGTACTTTGGAGGGCCAATGTAGATAAGCCATGGAACAGGCTGAATAAAGTTCTAAACGGGAACTACCTAAAGGTTTTACCAAGGAACGACTGGGGTTTGAAAGATGTTGGTTAGCTTGAGGAATGAATGAGTCCACTCTACTCTATAATGTAGATAATCCACGATTTTGCTCAATAATCAATTTTGTAGATTTAGTGAATATTATGTACATGGCAAACTATTTTTCAGATGGAGTTCTTCCAAGATGACCTGTTCCCTGACACTAGAGCATGCTGGGAGCCTGCCATGACAGCCCAGGAGTGGTTGGAGGGAGGAAACAAAGTACAGAGGACCATCAGTCTACAGCCTGCAGACATGAAACCATGTAGGTACAATAAACCGTGTACTAGGTACAATACAAAACAAGAAGAAATCACACTCCCATCTGTGAATAGTTTCATCAGGTTGGTACGTCACTGAATAAAGAGACTCTTTTTACACAACCAAGATGTTTATTCAGCCAAGGTTTCGGAGACCATCTTTCACCTTCCTCAGGGCAAATCTGACTGGTTTACATTGCACAACACATGCACAGGTGGTCATCTCAATCAGTCTTCCCCACCCTTCTTGGCTTTCTATGGGACATAGTGTTGCACTTAGTGAGTGTCATGCTGGTCAATTCTCTGATGTTATCCCATCGTTTCCAATACACCCCCAAACCAGAGTTGCCCAAAACATCATACTTCTATGCAGCTATGTATTTACTCGGCACACAGACAGTCATGGTGAATCAATAGCAAGCTTATGGCATATTTTATCAAGATTTTATGAGTTCTTCTCGTTTTCCTTAAGCAGATTATGAGTACAATTTTGACAAAACAAGAGTATAGCCTACTTGTGATATATAGATTTTACAGATTTTGAAGAAATTTAATTGCCTCATAAATTTGATATTTGTGTAGCCAAAATGATATGATCTTCACCTCCAGTATATGTGCATAATCATCTTTGCAAAAAAATCTACCCCATATTGCTTTAGATTTCAAGCTGGAACTTACAGATAAGGCTCCCATGCTCCTCATCTATCATCTAACTATTGTTTTCAAACCAACAGTATAATAACATTCACCTCCTAGTATTTGCTTGGGGTGAATGAATCTCAAAATACCTGCAATTTCCATCCTTAACTAAGCCCATGAGAGGTTGAAGCCTGCACCTGAACGGAGAATATTGCCGCAATATGTGTGTAATCGAACAGAGGCAGGTAGTAAATCTGACAGCTGACATTTGCCTCATTTATCACAACATGCACGACGTTGTCAGAGGAGCAATCGCTGTGTTCCTTTGCGCATGAAAGCGACATTGCTGTCATAAAAATGCTGCATTGTGCCTAATGAATCATAAGACTTAGTGCGGGTAATTCATCTTGCTCTTACGCTGGATTGGTTTGACACAACTCCTGGATACGAATGACTTGTTAAGAATGATGAAGAAAAGGATGAATTATGGATGAAGGAGAATTTTGTTGGAATGCTGTAGTATGTTAATTCCAATTTGGTAGGTCTCCTTGGTAGCTGTATATGAATTGTTCTCTGGAAACTTGATGCTAAAAAATACAGACTGAGAGTTACAGCACACATACATACACATTTGCACACACACACACACACACACTCAGTGTCCTCAGAAAAAGTTGAACCCGGCAGTAGACTTTTACAGCAGGAATAAAGTGTAGACTTACAACCAAGAACAGATCTAGCCATTTGTACCCATCTTTATGACTTAAGTGCAAAATCAATGGGGAATTGTCATGAAATGGTTTTTACAGCAGAGATGAGATGGAATTTTCTGCCTTTGCGTCCCTCATGAGAAAGATGAAAAGCAATCAAGTCTCGAAATCTGTAGTAATAAGTAACCACAAAAGTCACTTGGGAAGGATCATTGATTCCTAACGATGAGAACTGTAAATGTCAGTTGTGCTGAGTATAGCATTGACAGCTGTGGTCATTTTCATAGTTTTAAGCTTATGATATTTTGTTTTTATGCAGAAAATGACTACTAACAGTACTATTTTTCATGTTCAAGTACTAGTAGCTGCCTCCATATCCCTATGAGTAAATATGACTAATAGCATAAAAGAGAAATTGCAACACATAATATGATTTTTGTCTGAGAGCAGTCTCTATCTAAACCATTTACAATCGATAAATATGGTGTTAGCATTTTCTGTGTCTCAGTCTGTAGTTTTAACCAATGCCAAGTGGTCTCATTTGAATGAGCCTTTGCTAAAGGAATGCATTACTGACTACATGATGAACTGTTCCACATCGGACAGAACTGATTTACAACAGCCTTAATGACTTTGACGACAATACTTCTTTTTCGGCTCAGACAATGGTTAGCAGATGACGCCTGTCTGTGTAGATGATCTATCTTTACTGTTAAATCAATTGTAATTCAGCCACAGTGAAATACCAGGAGAGATGTGTGGGTATATCCAGCCATTATTTCTGTGTACTGGGGAGCGATCATGGGCTAGCCTTTGCTCGTTTTGTGCATCAGACTCCCAGCAGCAACTTGTTTCCGCTAACATCACAATGGAATTTTGAATCATATATAGAATTGTGATTGTTCAAAGGATTGAACTGTGGCAAATTGACTACTGCTGGTGACGTTAGGGCCTGCACATATCCAGTTTCAAACCCAGTGGTGTAATCAAGTGTAATGTAAGGCAATAGATATAGTGATAGTAAATTTCTCAACCTAAAACTCTTCTGAAAAAAAAACCTGCAGTTCCAAAACAAATGGGCCTGCATGGTGACAAACCTTTGAAAGGTTTACCTAAAAAGGCAGAAATATTGAAAAATCATGTCCCCAAAGCATGGATGACTGCTATGTTGTACATTGTATATTCTGGATATACACCCAGGAATTGTTTGAACTGGTTACTGTATTTTCGTTTTTTACCTTGTCTGTAACCTTGACTTTTCACAGCTGCAATTTTCAAGTCAGCAGCATTAAACATCACTCACAGCCTTAAAATGTGTCAATTACAGGCATTACATCTCAAGCAGCCTTTGTGGCAAATTGAAGGATTTCTTTTTATTGAGTCCTTCCTAGGGATAAATTGAGCCCTGGCTTCCATTTCCAGTCCAGATTTAGCCAGCTACCAGCACGGAAGTGCATTACAACAGGTTGGGAATGTCTTGGGAATGTCAGAGATTCTAGAGTTGAAACCATTTGGCATCTATTTAAATGTCTTTTATGGACTTGTTCAAAGACAGGAGGCTACATCTTTCAACCGTAATGTGGATAGTCAGAGTCTTCTGCAGTAGTCTAGAAATGACTCTCACAAGTCAATAAATTTACAGTTTTCAGCTCCTATATCCTCTGGTTTGCAATGTGCACTGAAAGCAATATTATTATTTACTCTACATTATCTTCGGTGCATTTTTCCCAACCCAATAAATTTGATTAACTACGCCTACCGGTACACATAACATTAGATCCCATCGTATCAGATACGCAGACGGAGCTTTGAGGTCACCAGTTTGACTATGTAATCTGGTTGTAAATCCATAACTCAAGGACAATATCTGACAACAGAGATAACAACTACAACTTTAACAACCAGATTATTACCCAAGGTGTTTTTTGCCGGGCCGCTGGAGCAAGATTGTGGAGTTTTTAAGAGTGCTGTTCCTATTCATGTGACTATCTACAGCTTGTAAACTTCATGTATTTACAGTCAAGCACGTCAGATGGGCTGTTAAGCGCGGTATGTTTGGGCTTGTAGCAGATATGGTAAAACATTTGGGAGGCTGGCTGGCAGTAATTGTAAATCTTGGTCCAGGAATAGTTGGCATGCAACTTTCTTGTCTTCAAACG